AGTACATTATTAACAACTTTTAAAGGGTATCCATTCCAAGACATAAACTTCCTGATGTTACTAAGTCCTACTTAAAAAGTCCTACTTTAAGAATCAATGTGTCCCGCTTTTGGACGTTGGGGGGTTGGAATGTCTGACATCGGTCACCGGTTCTGCGAAATGCCTAGGCAATTAGGTAGTATATGCAAGGTTCTCGAAAATTTTCATTTTAAATTTAGCGAAAATGGTGTCAGATATCCACAGAAAATAAACGCTTTCTTTCAAACACCTCCTTCAAATAAAACCATCTCAACAATCGCATAGGTTGTCCATTGTTACAGTAAATACATTATAATTTCAGCGGCGGATTCCAGGCCTAGCCTAGGTCTAGTTAGGCCCTAAACCCTAGGCTAGGCCTGGCCTAGTACTAATACAGGAACTTGTACCGCGCCTTTTGCCCAATGATACAAGGCGCAATCAAAATAAAAAGATAACCAAATTGGGGATCAACAGACACCAGAAATGACACCAAAAAAACAGAAAATTTGGACAGCTAAGTGACATTTACTTAGGGAAACAGATGTTTCTTGAGAAGCCGACGAAGTCGAGGCATTTGTGTATGTTTAGCCTAGACTTAGGCCTTGTTTTCCGACAAGCCCGGGCACATGTACCTACTACTAGCCTTCTCCCTAGCCTACTTAGTTTTTGTATTAATTATTTAAAACACTTAATTTTTGTATTATTTGGAATGCTTATACGCATCCCCTCCCGTTCAAAATTGTCAATGGTCACTAAAGAGTGCCCAAGTGATCTCAAAATTTCATCCATTTTCAAAATAGGCCTTGTTGACACTGTCCAAAAAGGCTGTGAAACTTTAATTTAAAATAGAGGGCGTCCACTTGAGTTTTGCACTGCCATTGGAGTTCTGCATTGCCACTTATGTTTTGCACTGCCGACTCTTTGTTTTGCACTGCCGCTTAAGTTTTGCACTGCTGACTCTGTGTTTTGCACTACTCAGTTTTGCACTGCTGATTCTCAGCTTTGCACTACTGACTCTCAGTTTTGCACTGCTGCCACTTGTATTTTGTCCTTTTGGCGTTCCATATCTACAAAGCCACCGTAACTACAATTGATGACGTCAAAGAGTACGTCGGACTCACAGACAACACATTCAAAACCAGATTCACAAATCATAAGCACACATTTAGCTCTCCGAAGCATAATAAACAGCACCGAATTATCAAAACATGATTGGAAACCTAAAGAAAGCAACACCCAATTCAACATTGT